AGCAGCATATATCTTAGATTGCCTTTGGGATCTACCGTATTTTCGCACCATAGGACGCAGTTTTTCCGTCTTAAAAACTAAGGGGAAAAGTCTGTGCGTCCTATGGTGCGAATGCAGGGGGGGGGAGGCAAGCAAGAAAAGCCCGCAAGAGCCACACACAAGCTTCGCACGGCTCTTGCGGGCTTTTCCCCAGGAGGAGAAGGGACTGACGCGGCCAGTCAGTCCCTTCTCCCTCTTCTAGAAAAGCCTTGCGCAATTTGCGCAGTCGTGGGAGGATACGCAAGGCTAAAGAGGAAGCCCGGGCAGTGAGCGCGATCCATCCCGCTCGCTGCCCGGCTTCCTCTTTAGCAGTGCGCGCCTCTCCAGAGGCTGAGCAAGGCTAAAGAGGAAGCCCAGGCAGTGAGCACGATCCATCCCGCTTGCTGCCCGAGCTTCCTCTTTAGCAGTGCGCCGCCTCCCACGCGCGCAAGGCTAAAGAGGAAGCCCGGGAGTGAGCGCGATCCATCCCGCTCGCTGCCCGAGCTTCCTCTTTAGCAGTGCTCGCCTCTCCAGCCGCGGAGGATACGCAAGGCTAAAGAGGAAGCCCGGGCAGCGAGCGCGATCCATCCCGCTCGCTGCCTGGGCTTCCTCTTTAGCAGTGCGCGCCTCTCCAGCCGCGGAGGCTGAGCAAGGCTAAAGAGGAAGCCCGGGCAGTGAGCGCGATCCATCCCGCTCGCTGCCCGGGCTTCCTCTTTAGCAGTGCGCGCTCTCCAGCCGCGGGGCTGAGCAAGGCTAAAGAGGAAGCCCGGGCAGTGAGCGCGATCCATCCCGCTCGCTGCCTGGGCTTCCTCTTTAGCAGTGCGCGCCTCTCCAGCCGCGGGAGGATACGCAAGGCTAAAGAGGAAGCCCGGGCAGCGAGCGCGATCCATCCCGCTCACTGCCTGGGCTTCCTCTTTAGCAGTGCGCGCCTCTCCAGCCGCGGAGGCTGAGCAAGGCTAAAGAGGAAGCCCGGGCAGCGAGCGCGATCCATCCCGCTCACTGCCTGGGCTTCCTCTTTTGCCTAGCACACCTCTCCAGCCGCGGGAGGCTGCACAAGGCTAAAGAAGCCAACTTTTAAAAAATCTCTCTATCTCTACCTCTTTTTCTTTTTTCGTCCTTTCTCCACCCCCTTATTTTCCTCTGGATCAGTGTTTTTATCTAGATTAACGTTTTAATTTGGAGGGTGGGAATATTATAAAAAAGGAAACTTTGCAGCTTTTATTTTAGTATACAATAAAAACAGATTAAACAAAACACAAGAGAAGGAACTAGCATAGAAGAAGAAGAGAAAAGGGAAAGAGGGAGGATACAAAGCCATTTACCAGAGGTAGATCTTAACCCTTGCCTCACCTGGGAGCTTCTCTGGACAGGAATTCTCTCGGCTTAAGTGGGGTGAGGGAAGAGTGGCAGGTAGGGGGGTACCTACCTAGACAGTGAAGCCACATGTCTCTCCAATGAAAATTGGGAGTGGGCATTGTGTGAAGTGGCTGTGGATCTCCTGCCACAGAAGTGTAGGACTGTATAGAGTTGGGAGGGCCACCCGAGGGTCATCTAGCCCAGCCCCCTCACAATGTAGGAATCACAGCTAAAGAACGCCAGGCAGATGGTCCCCCAACTGCTGCTTAAAAGCCTCCAGTGGTGGAGACCCCCAACAACTTCCGAGGTCACAGAATTGCAGGGTTGGAAGGGAACCCCAGGAGTCATCTAGTCCAGCCCCGGTGGACAGCGGGCACGATCCATCCCGTTGTGCAAGGCTAAAGATGCTGCTCAAGGCTAAAGAGGAAGCCCGCAGCCTGTCCGTTGCTCTTTGGGGCTGGGGGGGATAATATTTTTTTCCTTGATTTCCCCCTCTAAAAACTAGGTGCGTCCTGTGGTCCGGTGCGTCCAATAGAGCGAAAAATACGGTATATTTTTCAATCAAATGCATAAGTATAAGGCAGTGGTCTAATGTAGAGCAACCTTGGAGAAACCTATTTGTTCTTTCCCTGGTAAATTTAGATTTTTCATCCAGGTAAGGAGTTTAGATAAAAGGTGCTTAGCGTAGATTTTCCCTATCACTGATAATAGGCTTATCGGTCTGTAATTCCTTGGTTCTTTTGGGTCGCCATTTTTAAAGATTGGGATAATTATTGATCTTAACCATATCTCAGGTATGATCCCATATTTATCTATGAGAGTAAACAATTGAGCTAAGGGTTCTGCCCACCAATCTATATAGGTCTTGAATAATTCTATTGGTAGACCGTCTGGCCAGGAGATTTCCCCGATTTGAAATTTTTAACTATCTCTCTAATTTCCTCTTCTTCTACCCTTGGCCACTCCTGGAGTTTATTGATTTTATTTTTAGTGTCTCATTTCCTTTGAGTTCACTGTGTAGATTGTTAAATACAGATGTGAAGTATTGGGACCATTTGGATTCTGCAATTGGTGGTAGAGTTAGTTGGTTTTCGGCTTTCAATCCTCCGTACACTAGGTTCCAGAACGCTTTGTTGTTTTTACTCTGAATTGAGTCAAATAATTGTAGCCATTTTTGGGTTGCATATTTCTGTTTCTTTTCGGCCAGAATGTAATGGTATTGTCTTTTTTCATCAAGATAAGAGGGCTCTAGTTTAGCGCGATTATTTTTAAATGTTTGGCGCAGCTTTCTTTTTAGCTGGAAACATTCATCATCAAACCAAGGGCTAGCGCTATGTTTAAGTACCCAAACTTTAGGTGGAGTACTAAGCTCTACGAACATTTGGAAGATTTCATTATAAATTTTCGGAATATCACTGTAGGAATTAGTGGTCTTTAAGTTGGATAATACTTGTTTTCTCAGGTTGGCTGTAAGTTTTTGCCCCACTGCTGCACTCATTTCCTGGGACCATTTTAATTGGGTCATTTGTTTGTATTGAGAAGGTTCTATGATATTGTACTTGGTTATTTTGGTTTCGTCCTTTAAGTTAATAGACAACAATAATGGCTGATGGTCGCTTTCAGTACGCGTTCCAATTTTGAGGTCCATGATTGAATTTATAATATTATAAGGGACAAGAATATAGTCGATGACACTGCATCCTCGGGGGGAGAAGTATGTAAACTCCCCGCTTCTATCGCCTTTTGTTGAACCGTTCACAATCTGCAAATTAAAGTTGTTACATAATTCAAGTAGGCGTAAGCCTTCGTTGTTTACAACCCTATCTCTGGAGAATCGTCCTATTTTCAGGGCATGTGCGATATCATTATCAGTATTCCAATTTAGTTTGCTACATAGTTGTTCATTGTTGGTTCCCACTCTGGCATTAAAATCACCTGCTATTATCAGTGAGGCATTTGGGTATTTATCGGTCAAATTTTCTATATAAAAGGTTAGTTGTGACCAATTTTCACTGCTGCTGTTGTTTTTGGTTGGGGGGATATAGACATTTACAAGTAGCAAAGTATCGTCTTTTTGGGTTAAAAGTAGAGCTTGTGCAAGTGGTAAGCATTTTCCTAGCTGCTTGATTTCAAACCCTAAGTTGTCTTTGATCATACAACAGAACCCTGCTTTCGGCCGGCCCTTCGTGTTTGTTTTCACTGCGGGTTTCGTATAGGAGGTGAATCCATTGATTTTAATATCTCTAGTTTTGGGGCCAACATACGGCTTCATTTCCAATCAGTGTGTGTCCTGTAACTTCCTACTGAAATCTGGTAACTTTTTATACCACAAATCTTTTGTCAAACTCAGTGCTTTTTTCCTAGAAAAATAGGTGCCAGTACTCACCATGAACTTGTTACAGTAAGTGTCACACTTTTTAACAACAAAAGAGGTGCTGGTACTGAGTACCCTTGAGTACCCTAAAAGAGCACTGGGCAAACCTACCGGTAAGTTGCATTACAGTTTAAGAGTGCACTCCAGATAGCAATAATGGGAAACATCAACTAATAAAGCAGAATGAGATGTGGACAGTCCAATATAAATCTACCCTTAATGCACTTTTGCTGTGTCAATGACATATTTGGCCTGACATGTGATAGTTTTTGGTAGTTTGCCCCCATTATTGTAAAAAATAATAATGTTTTAATAAAAAAGAATAATCTCTTGTTGGAGTGGACTGGGCTATTGGGTTGGACTCCAGCTGTTTAATTCTTTCCTCTCTGCTAACTTTTCTCCTCATAATTGCTCTCCTCAAGCTGCCTTTGTCCCATAGCAGTGTGCTTCTAACAATAAAAATAGCTAGAGGAGAAAAAGGTTAAGCAGCCCATTCCTGCATTATTCCTCCATTTAAACTTGAAACTTCTCATGTGTTTTTTGTTTTTGTTTTTGTTTTGTTTGAAGCATAACAGAAAGATACAGTAAGTATGTGGCATTCTAGTTTGGACCTCAACCTATGACTTTTTGAAGATGGCTTTGGATGCAAACAGGGTAAGCTTCTTCCATCAACAACCTGCGTAGAAATCTGTGCAAATATTGTAAGTCAAACATTTTGGCAGACTTTGGTAAATTTGAAATTGATTTCATCTGCTCTTGTATATCAAATTTAAGGATTTTCCTCTGTAACAAATCAAATACATGCAGTTAACTTAGGTTCAATTAAGATAACATGTCAAAATCATGGTGAAGAAAGATTGAGGCTGCAATCCTATACCTATTTAGTAAATCCCATTGAATGTAATGGTGCTTATAGGGTCCTCATGTTTCATACTTTATAGAGGACAGTTTCAAGGGGTTATTCAATCCATGTTTGGTCAGTGGTGCCATCTGGGCCAGATTTTGGGGCAGAGGTACAGGACCCCACTCAGCAGAATGAGCAGGAGGGCCCTCAAATGCAGCAAGAGAGCCTTATCACATTTTGAGGTAAAGGAGTGCATATAAAGAGAGATAACACCATAAAACTATTAACTCCAGGGGATAAAATAATGTATCTGTTTAAAGATACCATTAGAAAGGAATGCAAGGCTTAGACTACAGCTGAGCAGGAACACAGATCACCTGGTTACACTCTTTCCTACTATGGAAATATGCGCCAGAGTTGTATTTGAAATTATATTTATTTATTAATTTGCATCTATACATGTAAATCAGAACATGCAAATCTGTGCCCTCTTATTTGATTATGTGTTTCTTCCAAGGCGACATGAAAGTGGCCACGAGTATAGCATTTCTCTGTAGGCAGTGCTTTTGCTTCTGTGTGGTGTCTGAAATGGCAAGACACAGTTTTGTCCAGAAGCTGCTGCACTACGAGTGGGGAGTAAATTTATGAAGCTGAGCAGACAGAATGTGAAAGCACACCTACAGCCCTGAGCCATGATTTTTCTTCGGTAGACAGATACTATTTATAGGATTACACTAACAGGTTATAACATTGTATGGTCTACATTTAGCACACAAATCCTGGTTAAGTTTCCAAATGATAGTGCAAACCATAGTTTGGCATGATGTCTCAAATGAATCATGATATGAGGGATGTATGGTTCTTGAATATTGGGATATGTCAAGGCTTGAAGTGGGAACTCATGGTCTGAGGCAGGTACCAGGGATTAGGTGCACTCAAGTCACAGAACCCTTTTCAGATACAGAAAGAAATAGTAGCATTCAACATCAGCCCCTGAGATTAAATGGCAGCAGGCCTTTGGTACTGCCAGGCCTTCTACAGCTACTAGGAGCCTGGCACTATGTCCTTGTCCTGGTTACTGACAGAGTACCCCCAGTGGCGGAGCTTCGTGCTCTGGCACTGGGGGTGGAGAGCAGGTGGGGCGGGGCTGGCGCATGTCCCGGGGGTGGGATGCGCCGCCCGCAGGGGCGTGGCGCATGTTCTGGGAGCAGGGCGCACTGCCTGTGGGGGTGGGGTGCCCAGCGCGGGCAGGGGAGCAGCCACGATGGAACCCCACTGGGATCACACTGCCGGGGGCGGGGCGCTCCTCCGCCCCCTTCTTCTTCCACCAGTGATCACCCCACAATTGGGTCAGTGGATCACAGGTAGGGAAAGGGGGGTTGTACTCTAGCTTGCAGTTTTCCCATGGCATCTTGTTGGCTGCTGTGAGAACACAGTGATAGACTAGACAGGCTTTTGGTCTGATTCAGCAGTCAAGCTCTTATATTTTTAATATTAAACTGAGAACTGAACATGCAGCTTCCAACACACTGCCCCGTTTCAAATACTAATTTAAAACAGCGGCAGCAGGAGGCCCCATTAGCTAAAGTGGTGCTTCAGGTTAAGAACAGTTTCATGTTAAGAATAGACCTCCAGAACGAATTAAGTACTTAACCCGAGGTACCACTGTACTAGAATCTCACTGCAGCTAATTTCCCTCCAAACCAGGATAGAGAACATGTGACCCTCCAGGTGTTGTTGGAATCCAGCTCCCATGAGTCCCAGCCAGCATGGTCAATGGTCAGGAATGATGAAGGTTGAAACCCCGCAACATCTGAAAACCACAGGTTCCTCATCCCTGATCTAAGCCATAGTTTAAAACTGATAATCTGAACTCAGCTTTTGTGGGTGCAGATTAGGTGCAGATGAGTATCACATTTAGTACTGCGAAGTATGGATGGAAATGTGGCTTCTCATTTGTCTTAAAGCGCCATTGGAAATACACATCCTTACCTCCTTTTGGCAGCTGATTCATCTAGGTGCATATAACTAGGTATGTGCAACCCCTTTTTGCACAAGAGTCTCTCCTGTTCAATTGAATTTTAGAAGTAGATTTTAGTTAATAATTTAAAAATCAGAACTTGAAGAGTACATCCCCTTCTCTGTTAATTCTGGTGTCCAGAGCAACCCTGATGTCATTTAGTTGAGAATATCAAGACATGAAATCATAAGCTCCCGTGCAGATGTGAAATAAGTACAAAATTAAAACCACAGGAATCTTGAATTAAACAATGGAATGGAACAGAAGCTGGTGATGTGCCATCAAACTTATTTCATGGCTTCAGGTTAGAGATGTGAAGGCCCAGGAAAAAAAATAAAACAAAACAGTTTTATTTCTTCTACCCTCCCCACAAGCCTTTCCCCTCCCCACGCCATGTGAAAGGATAGGTAAGTTTGTTTCAACCTGGGCAAACCTTCAGCTTTTAGAAGTCCATGATAAATACAATGACAAATATGAAGAAACAGAAACTGATTGTGGTGGCTCAGAAAAAGAGGTTGATTAAAATTCATGTAATATCCCTCCTTGCTTTGTCACAGTTCTATTTATGGATATAAATGCTTTATGTCTGCTTCACATTGTGCAGGACTGTAGGAGACAGGGTGGTAGTCAGTGCTAACCCTGCTCAAGGTAGACCCAATACTAACTTAGCTACATTACTTTCAGTGGGTCTACTCTGAATAGGACTTACTTTAATAATTTTCAGAATACACAAACATTTCCTTTTACTATAATGTTGGTGGTTTCTCCTGTTCCTGGGAGTGGGGAGGTCCCACCTTTTCCTCATAAACTGGAAAAATGGGGGGGGGGATGGTAGGTTGATTACAGTTCAGCAGTTGTAGCTCCATTTGTAATTTAAAATAATAATTAAGAAGTAAATTCAATTTGCAATTATTAACCCCAAAATTATTAACTTTTAATATACCAAACACAATAATTTAATGGCAAACCGACCCCCCCACCCCCACAATTTCCCCATGGATTCAAACATCCGGAAATTTTACACTGGAAACATCCAATCAGCAAAAAGTTGGCTGGTGTGTAACCTCCACACTAAAAAGCAACATCTGCATTTGGACAAGCCATTGTGCAAACTCAGCAAATTTGCACAGTGTCCTTATTTTGCAAAATTTATTGCTGGTCATAACAAGGAACAAGGAGTTTGCCCTCAAGCACTGGAAATCTTTCTTAGCTATGTGTCTAGGTTCTGAAATTTTATCAGGCATTGCCTGTGCACCTTCAGGCATAGCTTTTTAGCCACAAGGACTAGAAACTTCTGTTTAAAATGAAAGTTGTTCTTAGGAAGCTGAATTTTGTGCCTAATGCTGCACTCTCTACTTTTCTTGTACTTCTGCAGAAACACAGCATATGCCCAGTCCTGACAACAAGCTACACTGACTCAGTGTAACCCTTCGTTTCCTTGTAATTGTCATTAGCTCCACCCTGTTAAGAGAACAGAATAAAAACATTCTAGAAAGAACAAATTACTGGAATTGCTCCGTGTAAAAATTCTTCAGTCTCAAATCAAGCAAAGTATGGGGCTGCAGACTTGGGGCATTTATTCCAAAAAAGTTTTTCCGGCCATAACCCCCTTTCTCTCTGCCCCTATTTCCAAACCGCCTTTGCAGTCAAGAACACAAGGTTCCCAACTTGAGTTTTGCCATATCACAAGTGACCTTGCCAAAGGATGTTTTGCTGTCTTCTCCCAGGCCTTGATTTGATCTGAAGTTCTCAGTATTTTACAAATGGCTGTTGTGATGCTGGGGCTGGGGAGTTGGGTCCCTTGCAAACAGCTTTGGCGTTCCCGTTGTGAACTGTAGTGCTCCATGTACCCATGATTTATCATGTTCTTCCTTTAACGCAATGACCTTACTGAGATGCCACAACTTGCTGGAGATTTCCACTGTGCTGTAAGCCATTCATTGGAAGAGGAGCAGGTGGTGGAGGTGGTGGGAATAAAGTACCAGCCATTTCTGAATGCGTCTGTGGGTCAGGCATTGGGATGGGACTCATTGAACCAGAGTCACTCTGGATTGAACTGAGGCTGCTGCCATCAAAACTTGTCATTTTCTTCTTCATTAATTTTCTTTCTTTGGCTCTTCGGTTCTGGAACCAGATTTTTACCTACAAGGGCAAATAATATAATGGTTTCAGTTGCTTACCACAAAATTATAAATGCATATGTCCTTCTTTGTATGCCTTTCTCTAATAAAATCACTGGGAAGGTGTGTGTTGCATATTTGGGTCCCATGTGAGGGGCAGCAAAACAACAAAATGGATGTATTTGCCACCCTTTACATTTGTTGACAGACTGTGACATCAGACAGAAAGGCACATACATTGTGCTTCTAAGAAGTTGTGTGCAATGTGTCTGTGCAAGCAAGCAGTGCCATCTTTAGTACCCTCACCTAGCGTTACAGACGTACCACCCTCATTAACTTTTGAGTGAACTTACTCAAATTCTGGTGGCATCTTGTGCCACCAAGATGGCACCACTTCTAGATATGCTTTCTGTTCATGTGTCTTAACAACTGGATACTCTTGCCCAGTGCTTTTTTTTCTTAAAAAATGTTTTTTCCTACTCATATTGAAATACTGCTCCTCAATGAGGCAAAACATAGATTCACAAAATGTTTAGGGGTATGCGTACCCCCATGTGCCCCCAGAAAAAAGCACTGCTCTTGCCTCCCAGGCTCTGCGAGAGATATTATATGGGCAAGACAAACTAAGTCCAAGTGAATCAGAAGTTGAGAGAATTACAGTATTGCCTGATATTGAAATGAGGGGGCAGGCATGTAGTGTGCTACTAATTCTTACTGTGAGAATAGTAGTGTTATCAAACACACAATAGTCTTCCCATTTTTGAAATATTGAAAGATATCTTACATACCTGCCATGAAAAGCTTCATCCAATGACTCCTGCATATCAAACTACTGTTAAAGAGGCAGGAGCAGGCTGTGCTGATTGTTCTCTGATAAGTTGGCAACAACTTGGGGAGAGGGGGACTCATACAGTAGTTCAGCACAGAGCATGTACTTTGCATGCATAAAGGCTCAGATTCAGTCCCTGGCACAGGTGGCAAGTAATGGGAAAGTTCCCTACTGCTGCCTCTCAGGGTAAAGGGTGAGATAAACAGTGTGACCTGGTCCAAGGTACATTCCTATCTTTCCAACCTTAATGAGCCTTTGCAAACCTGATGCTGTCCAGGTATGTTGGACGACAACTCTGATCAACCACAGCCAGCATGCTAGTTAGCTTTTCTTAAAGCATACTTCATGCATTCCACAAGTTTTCACTCCCATTTCAAGCTTAAAACCTTAAAAATAACCATAGAGTCACCGTTTCAAAATCTGAGCAAAGACTCAATAAGGTGTGCTTAATACCTTGTTCATGGCAATTTTTGTCTATTTATAAATAATAAAAACATTTAGACCACTTAGTTATAAAACATTATTAAAGTAAATAGTCATGGTGAGTTGAACTGAGCCATTTTACACATACCTCTCTTGGAAGCTTTGCAGTTTTTGTTTTAACACCACCCAAATTTGGTCCAGTAATATACCTCTTTTGTATTAGAAACCATACTCTACCTGTCTCTCTGAAAGTCTCAGGTTTGCAGCAAGTTCAGACTTTCTCCTGATTGTAATATATCTATTGTAATGAAATTCCTTCTCTAGTTCTAATCGCTGGTGATCTGTGTAAACAACACGGTACTTCTCTCTTGTTCTTGTTTTACCTGTTCAGAAAAAAAACAAAATACGCATAGGTTTGTGTCTTGATTGAATGAAATACAGATGTAAACATATATTCTGGAGAGTGCCAGGATACGCACTCCTGCATACTCTCGCTTTCTTGACAGTAGTAGTTTGTATGTGTATACATTCCTGCATTGCAGGGGGTTGGACTAGATGACCCTTTGGGTCCCTTCCAGCTCTGCCATTCTATGTATGTTGTCCTGATAATGAACTATACAGAGAGAGAAATAAAGGGTGTGTGACTGTGCTCCTTGATTTCTCTGTGACTTTCAGTACCATTGATGATGGTATCCTTCTGGACTGATTCAGTTGAATGGGAATTGAGGGCCCTGTGTCCCAGGGGTTCGAATCCTACGGGACAAATAGTAGTGGTAGAGTGCTTTCTGGCTTCCTGGCAGTTACGCTAGGTGCTGCAGGGCACTGTTGTATCCCCAATACTATTCTTTCTTTCTTTCTTTCTTTCTTTCTTTCTTTCTTTCTTTCTTTCTTTCTTTCTTTCTTTCTTTCTTTCTTTCTTTCTTTCTTTCTTTCTTTTTCTTTAATATACTGCCCTTCACCTGAGGATCACAAGGCGGTTAACAATATAAAAACCACAACAAATACATGAGATAGTAACAAACAAAAACAATGTTTCCACCACCACTAACACACAGTTGAAAAGGCCATAGATTGTTTAACTAGCCAAAGGTTGGGGAGAAGAGGGATGTTTTCCCTGGCGCCTAAAGATTTGTAACAAATGTGGCAGGCAATCCTTCTTGTGGAGAACATTTCACAATATTCTACATAAAGAATAGCATTCTATCCCCAGTGTGATTTAATATCTATATGAAGCTACTGTGGCCAGCCATTTGGAGTTTTGTGTTAAGGTGCCATCGGTACGTTGATGACACTCAGCTCTATTTCTCCATAACATCTGAAGTAGGAGATGTCATGTAGGCTTTGGACTGGTGTTGGGATGAGGTGAGGTAAGCTATGCTTGAATCCTGGCAAGATGGAGGCACTGGGTGAGTGGTTCCTGTGGCTGAGAATATGGGCTATTGTTGCGTTCCTTGACATGGTTATTCTCCCCTTGAAGAAGCAGGTACACAGTGTAGCAAATGCTTCTGGATCCAGTGCAAGTCACTGGAGGCTCCAATAGCCTTAGTGGCTAGAAGCACCTTTTACCAACTGTGAATGGGGTCACAGCTACAGCCATTCCTCAACCTGCAGAGCTTGACCACAATAGTTCCAGTACTGGTGACTTCAAAGTTGGATTACTGCAGTGCACTCTTTGTGGGGCTTCCCTGGAACCTGATCCAGAAGCTACAGTTTGTGAAGAATTCTCCAGCATGGTTGCTTACAGGAGTTAGATCCTGTCTGCATACACTTCTCTTCAGATCAGCACTGGTTTCACATTTGAAACCGGGCCAGTTTCAAGGGGTTACAATTACAGTAGTCGCTTAATAGCTTGAGACCAGTTCACTGTTCTCTTTTTGGTGTCAGTCAAAGACATTTTTGTTTGGGAAAGCCTATCTAGAAATGTAGAAGTTACATGTGTTTCGTTTATTTTTAGCTTTTGTTGATTTTAATAAACATTTGAATGTTTTTCAACACCTGCTTTAAACATATATATATATATATATATATTTGTATTTTTGTAAATCGGTTTTCTTACTATCAAGAGGATTTAATTTTTATTAACTGAAAATAAACAATTTCATGGATAGCTTAGTGGGTTATAGGTGATAATGCCAAGGTTGAAGTTTCGATCCCCATATGGGGCAGCTGCATATTCCTACATTGTAGGGGATTGGACTAGACCGGGGGTCGGCAACCTGCGGCTCCAGAGCCGCATGCGGCTCTTTAAAGCCTTTGCTGCGGCTCCGGGGCGGTGGCGAGGGGAGGAGGCGAGGGGCGGAGGCGAGGGGCGGAGGTGACCAGCCTGCCGCCCGGCGGGCGGGGCGCCGTAAAGCAGAGCGCCCCCCTCGCCAGGCAGACATCCGCAGCGTGGGGAGCCTTGCCGGACTTCCCGGCAAGGCTCCCGACGCTGCGGATAGCAGCCTGCCGCCCGGTGGGCGGGGCGCCCTAAAGCAGAGCGCCCCCCTCGCCAGGCAGACATCCGCAGCGTGGGGAGCCTTGCCGGAGGTCCCGGCAAGGCTCCCCACGCTGCGGATAGCAGCCTGCCGCCCGGCGGGCGGGGCGCCGTAAAGAAGAGCGCCCCCCTCGCCAGGCAGACATCCGCAGCGTGGGGAGCCTTGCCGGAGGTCCCGGCAAGGCTCCCCACGCTGCGGATAGCAGCCTGCCGCCCGGCGGGCGGGGCGCCGTAAAGAAGAGCGCCCCCCTCGCCAGGCAGACATCCGCAGCGTGGGGAGCCTTGCCGGAGGTCCCGGCAAGGCTTCCCACGCTGCGGATAGCAGCCTGCTGCCCGGCGGGCGGGGCGCCCTAAAGCAGAGCGCCCCCTTGCCAGGCAGACATCCGCAGCGTGGGGAGCCTTGCCGGACTTCCCGGCAAGGCTCCCCACGCTGCGGATAGCAGCCTGCCGCCCCGCAGGCATCGGCCAGCCCCACAAGCTCGGGGGACAGCAGGGAGGCGAAGCGCCGCCATCCCGCTGTTCCTCGACCTGGTTCAGTTTCCCCGACCTGCTTTGGGGGGGAAATAAAGGGAAATTTCCCCCCCTTTATTTCCCCCCAAAAAAACTAGGTGCGTCCTATGGGACGGAGCGTCCTATGGGGCGAAAAATACGGTATTTTATAATGACGAATGCCTCATTATTAATTATTATTTACATCAGGCACTGATTATGATTTATGGTACACTGGGGCCCTGATTAATTTTCTATGGCATTTTGGGGCATTGATTATTGGGCATAGCAAGTCGCGGTCGCGTGGAATTTGTGCTTTGTGACCGTTTGAAGTGGGGTTTTTTTCTTGGGAGGCTGGGCGGCACGAAGAGAGGGATTATTTTTATAATGATGAGGATGACATTGGGCCCTCATTATTAATTATTATTTACATCAGGCACTGATTATGATTTATGGTTCGCTGGGGCCCTGGTTAATTTTCTTTGGCATTTTGTGGCATTGATTATGCAGTCGCGGTCGCGTGGAATTCCACGTGGAGTTAGTTGCCTGAAGCCCCTTTTTAGTTGCTTGAAGCCCCTTTTTAAACTTAAGCAGGTGAAAGTTTGGTGAATTGCTGCCAAGGAGTGTGGTGGAGTCTCCTTATTTGGAGGTCTTTAAGCAGAGGCTTGACAACCATATGTCAGGAGTGCTCTGATGGTGTTTCCTGCTTGGCAGGGGGTTGGACTCGATGGCCCTTGTGGTCTCTTCCACATATGTATGTGAGCAGGTCTTCTCCAACATGAACTATATTAAAAACAAGCACCGATCACGCCTCACAGATGACAGCTTGCAAGCCTGTGTGAAAATGAAGGTGACGTCTTACAGCCCTGATGTGCAGACACTGAGCACTGAGGTTCAGGAGCAAAAGTCCCATTAACCTGGTTACCTGGTTGTAAATTAAATATTTTAATTAGCTATTAATTTGTCCTTTTTTCTTGAGATTGACAGCTGACTGCACGATCCTGTATATATAGCATTAAGGCCAGAAACAATATATGTAGTGTTATATTTGTTTTAAATGTTGCAATGTTTTTGCGGCTCCCAGTTGTTGTTGTTTTTTCGGAAACGGGTCCAAGTGGCTCTTTTTGTCTTAAAGGTTGCAGACCCCTGGACTAGACGATCCTCAGGGTCCCTTCCATCTCTACAATTCTATGACTAAATATTTCTTTCTCAACTTTGTTTGTTTGTTTGTTGCATTTATACCCTGCCCTTTGGGGGGGGGGGAATCTCCCAGGGCAACTTACCAAGCTCAGTACTAATACAGTTCCTGTCCTTAGGCTCAAGACATTGACACACTAGGGAAAATGAACAGGCAAGGAAAGGGAAAAACAAGCTCAAGCATGGGCTCTTCATGTTATAGTTCTTAGCAAACTGTTATATAGGTTATTTCTGTCTTGCCTTTTGAAAAAGAGTAGTTACTCCTCTGCTCCTGGATCTGATTGGTTTGGGTGGAGGGTGGGGGTGCAAGAAGCACTTCCTGCCCCTCCACCGAACCAATCAGATCCAGGAGCAGAGCAGGTGACTGTATCAGTTTTATTGCCCACTCTTCATCCAAGGGCCCCCACGATGGGATACGTAAAAGCAATAGCACATTGAAGCAGCAGAAAGAGTGGATTGTCACCCCACCTCACCTCACCTCTCCAAAAGCCTAGGCAAGGAAGTGCATCTTGACCTGTTGACAAAAGCTGTACAAAGTCGGTACAAGTTATACCTCAGAGGGTGATCCCCACTTTGGTGCTTCTGTTGAAAAGGCCCTCTAACACAGTGTGGAAAAAGTAGCAGTTAAACCTGGTAATTATAGATGTACTCAGTGCTCCAATGAGAATAGCAATGTCTCCATTACATTTTTATAGGTGTCTATAAAGGCTTGAGTGGGATGCACTATTTGAACTAGTCCTAAATTGTTTAATCATTCTACAAACCCTTTTAATACTGGCCCTCAAGACTCTCCTCAGGCTGCCCTCATGACTTCCTAAGCCACAACCCTCAGCAGCCCTGCTCCATACCCTGTCTGGAAGGTGTCCTTGATCTCAGATAATGCCTCTTGACTGTCAAACTGAAAAATAGAGAGGGGTGTGTGGGTGTATGTAGAAACAAGCCTATGGTTCAAAGGCACAATTTACATTTGTTGCTCTGTCTACTTTTACCTCAGGCCCCACTCACCACTGTCACAACACCACCAGTCCCTGCATGAAGAGAATGTGACTCTGTAAAAGGTTCACCATCCTTGCTTTCCCTAGTTCTTTACAATTAGTACCACTGCTTTACTTACTCAGTATCATAAGGCAAATAGGGTACTATCTAGCCAAAATGAAGCACATTTGATCTGTTTGCTATGGGAGAGTTAAACATGTCCTCAAGCTCTGTGTGGATTCTGCCTGT